GACAAAGGTCCCCCGTGAAGCCTTAACAGATTGTTGGGGGAAAGTTGTGGTTAAGGGACGCACAAAAAAAATATCCCCCGTATAGCCTGAACAGACCTTTGGGGAAAGTACTGCTAGCGAGCACCTATGAAGGGCGGCACGGCACATGAGGGGGTGGGTGGCCAACACCACGCTGGGCGGCCTTTGTCTCCCTAGTGCGATGTTTACACACTATACAAGGTACTCATTTTAACTCGGGTCGCTGGGAATGTAGCGCAGCTAACCGCTGTAACACTACCCACTAAGGGACGCACACAAGCAAATACACAAACAAAGAATCAAACACACTCACCTTTCTAGATTTAAAGCTTTCGTGACTGCAAGGATCCATACTCTTTGGTTCTATTCGGTAAAGTCACGTATGTAAAAAATAAACAACAAAAAATCACGACGTTTCGGCCACAACACAAGCGGCCTTCATCAGGTGAAGGGATCAGGCTGTCTCGAGGACAGCGCTGGAGTGGAACACAGCCATGCTCAGACCGCGACCTTTAAGCTGTGTGCGAGGAAAACAAGGTGCCTTGACGAAGGAATTAGCATAAAAAATTAGCATTTGATTGCCCGATTTAGCATAGAAGTGGTGTACATGCAAGTGCACATGCCGGTTGGCGCGGAGGGTGGGGAGGGGAGTTTCCCTATTGATGGTGTGAAAAGGGAATTTAAGAGCTGCGAAAGTTTGGGGTACCACTACTTGAAAAATATACTGTACCATTGAAAATTAGTTTAATGTTTGGTTCGATTTAGAACATCTTTCCAATGGTTGCTTAATTTGAAACCATCTTCTCGGTTGAAATTGTGTCTGTGCTCGTAGATCTGAATTGCCCCGTGAACAAATCTCTGATAAAAACCCGTGGGTTTGCAAATAACCTTGGTATCGGAGAAAATTATATCGTGATCACCCACAGCGTTGTAACAATGATCAGCTACGGCAGAAGAATTCGTTTTACCGTGTTTAAAATCTGATGTGTGCTCGTGAATTCGGTCAGAGACATGTCGCTTTGTCTCCCCGATATAGCAATCACCGCAGGTACAACTCAATTTGTAAACCCCGGGGTGCTGTAAGTCAGGAATGACATCCTTCACGGATGGGATCAGATCACGAATTTTGTGTACTCTATTGAACCGGACCTGGATCTTGTGTTTGTTTAGAATTTTGGAAATCCTTTTATATACGGTAGTGTGATGGTTTTGACCGGAGTATCAAGTGGTTGTTTCTGTATGGAGGGAGAAACAGCTTGGCGGATGGTACGGTCAGAGTATCCATTCCTTTTGAGGGCCAGGTGTACATGTTTGAATTCACTGGTCAGGTGGTGTTGGTCCGAAATGCAATGAGCCCTATGGTATAAAGTTTTGATGAGAGAATTCTTCTGGGCTGGGTGGTGGTGGGAATCAGGCTTCAAGTAGGAATCCGTGTGGGTGGGTTTCCTGTAGACAGAATGCCCCAATGAGCCATCAGGTCTTCTCTCAAACAGAACATCCAAGAATGGTAGCTTGCCATCTTTCTCCACCTCCATGGTGAATTTGATGGCGGGATGTCTGGAATTGATGTGGTGTAGGAAAAGGTTCAGAGCTGGGAGGCCATGTGGCCAAATGACGAAAGTGTCATCCACATATCTCTTCCACAGGGAAGGTCTGAGGGTGGAAGTCTGGATGGCGTCTGATTCAAATTTCTCCATGAAAATATTGGCTATCACTGGTAACAAGGGGGATCCCATGGGGGTACCCTCATTTTGTTTGTAGAAGGAGCCATTCCAAGTAAAGTAGGTATTGTTGAGGCAGTGCCTAACCAGTGCAGGTGTATCGGGGTCTAGTCCATGTTGGACCAAATTTTCAATTATTTCAATGGTATCAGGCACTGGGACCTTGGTGAACAAAGAGACCACATCGAAGCTGACAAGGATATCATCAGGGGACAGTACAACGTCTTTGACCATAGAGACCAATTGGGCTGAGTTAAGTACTGCTGAGGCGGTCTTGCCAGTGAAAGGCAGCAATGTATCTGACAGAAAACGGGCCAGTCTATAGGTAGGGGAGTTGATCGTGGATACGATGGGTCGTAGTGGGGTGCCTTCTTTATGAATCTTGGGAAGACCATAGAATCTAGGGGGTCTTGCAGCAGAAGGTTTCAGGGAAGAACGTTTAGTTGGGTCGATTAGGGAGGTCGAACTTGTGATGATCTTGTTGTTTTTTATCGCTAGGCTATTGGTAGGGTCATTTTTAATTTTTGAGTAACTTCCATCGTGAAGCAGATTCTGGGTTTTGTTGTTGTATGAATCTTTATCCATAATTACAGTAGCGTTGCCTTTATCGGCTGAGAGGATAACTAAATCACTTCTGTTTTTTAAATTCGCGAGTTCATATCGGAGTAGCCTTATCTTCTCTGAGATTGAAGATAGGCTGGCCTTAAACAGAATCTGTTTAGAATTCGGAGAAGATACAGCAGCAGAAGTGAGTGATATGAACTCGATACTTTAGACAGGACTCTCCTACAAGCTCATTTAATGTTAACACAAAAAATGTCACCTTCTGATTGCAATCACGTAGACAACATGACTGCTTCTTCTGCTGATTCACTGTCAGTCAAATGTAAAGCTAACCTGATTTCTAAATTCAACCACCTATCAAAGAAGAACCCAGTTCCACATATAACAAAACTAGATGTTAACAAAATCGTCATTAATCAGAGTAGCACCCCGATTTCGGACAATCTGAAAACAGTACTGGCTAGGGGACTGAATTTCACTGTCACCCCAAAACACATACCAGTAGATGATATCATCTCTCAGGTCGATGTAGCCCTCAAAGGCGTGGGATACATCCAAGCAGACGTTGCGAGAGCTGAAATAGCCACTATTCTTAAGAATGCTAAGAAACCCATTAGTAACATCAGCAAAAATGAACGCTCTGAACTCGCGAATTAAAAAAACAGAAGTGATATAGTCATCCTCTCAGCCAATAAAGACAACGCTACTGTAATTATGGATAAAGATTCATACAACAACAAAATCCAGAATCTGCTCAACGATGGAAGTTACTCAAAAATAAAAAATGACCCTATCACAATAGCCTAGCGATAAAAACCAACAAGATCATCACAAGTTCGACCTCCCTAATCGACCCAACTAAACGTCCCTCCCTAAAACCTTCTGCTGGAAGACCCCCTAGATTCTATTGTCTTCCCAAGATTCATAAAGATGGCACCCCACTACGACCCATTGTATCCACGATCAACTCCTCTACCTATAGACTGGCCCGTTTACTGTCAGATACCTTGCTGCCTTTCACTGGCAAGACCACCTCAGCAGTACTTAACTCAGCCCAATTGGTCTCTATGGTCAAAGACGTTGTACTGTCCCCTGACAATATCCTTGTCAGCTTCGATGTGGTCTCTTTGTTCACCAAGGTCCCTGTGCCTGATACCATTGAAATAATTGAAAATTTGGTCCAACATGGACTAGACCCCGATACATCTGCACTGGTTAGGCACTGCCTCAACAATACCTACTTAACTTGGAATGGCTCCTTCTACAAACAAAATGAGGGTACCCCCATGGGATCCCCCTTGTCACCAGGATAGCCAATATTTTCATGGAGAAATTTGAATCAGACGCCATCCAGACTTCCACCCTCAGACCTTCCCTGTGGAAGAGATATGTGGATGACACTTTCGTCATTTGGCCACATGGCCTCCCAGATCTGAACCTTTTCCTACACCACATCAATTCCAGACATCCCGCCATCAAATTCACCATGGAGGTGGAGAAAGATGGCAAGCTACCATTCTTGGATGTTCTGTTTGAGAGGAGACCTGATGGCTCATTGGGGCATTCTGTCTACAGGAAACCCACCCACATGGATTCCTACTTGAAGCCTGATTCCCACCACCACCCAGCCCAGAATAATTCTCTCATCAAAACTTTATACCATAGGGCTCATTGCATTTCGGACCAACACCACCTGACCAGTGAATTAAAACATGTACACCTGGCCCTCAAAATGAATGGATACTCTGACCGTACCATCCGCCAAGCTGTTTCTCCCTCCATACAGAAACAACCACTTGATACTCCGGTCAAAACCATCACACTACCGTATATAGCAGGCGTTGCTAAAAGGATTTCCAAAATTCTAAACAAACACAAGATGCAGGTCCGGTTCAATACAGTACACAAAATTCGTGATCTGATCCCATCCGTGAAGGATGTCATTCCTGACTTACAGTACCCCGGGGTTTACAAATTGAGTTGTACCTGCGGTGATTGCTATATCGGGGAGACAAAGCAACATGTCTCTGACCGAATTCGCGAGCACTAATCAGATTTGAAACACGGTAAAACGAATTCTTCTACCGTAGCTGATCATTGTTACAACGCTGTGGGTGATCACGATATAATTTAATCCGATACCAAGGTTCTTTGCAAACCCACGGGTGTTTATCAGAGATTTGTTCACGAGGCAATTCAGATCTACAAGCACAGACACAATTTCAACCGAGAAGATGGATTCAAATTAAGCAAAAATTGGAAAGATGTTCTAAATCGAACCAAACATGAAACAAATTTTCAATGGTACAGTATATTTTTCAAGTAGTGGTACCCCAAACTTTCACAGCTCTTAAATTCCCTTTTCACACCATCAATAGGGAAACTCCCCCTACCCCCTCCCCCCCCGCGCCAACTGGCATGTGCACTTGCATGTACACCACTTCTATGCTAAGTCGGGCAATCAAATGCTAATTTTTTATGCTAATTCCTTTGTCAAGGCACTTTGTTTCCTCGCACACAGCTTAAAGCTCGCGGTCTGAGCATGGCTGTGTTCCACTCCAGCGCTGTCCTCGAGACAGCCTGATCCCTTCACCTGATGAAGGCCGCTTGTGTTGTGGCTGAAACGTCGTGATTTTTTGTTGTTTTATTTTTTACTTAAGTGACTTCACCGAATAGAACCAAAGAGTACAGACTCACCTCCTTGATGGCCGACATCTTGGTGCTCTCGTAGTAGTGCAACGGAGCGCTCAGGTTGCTCATATCGTAGCCAAAGCCAGCGACGTCCACCTCGTCGCAGTTGTGCAGCGCCATCGTGATGGCCACCGTGCCCAGTGTGGGGATGTTCTGCACAGTCAGAGGCGACAGCAGACACGCTGAGTTCACGAGACACACACTTAGACCAGCAGACACACTGAGTTCACGAGACACACATTTAGACCAGCAGACACACTGAGTTCACTAAACACACACTTAGACCAGCAGACACGCTGAGTTCACTAGACACACACTTAGATCAGCAGACACGCTGAGTTCACTAGACACACACTTAGACCAGTAGACACGCTGAGTTCACTAGACACACACTTAGACCAGCAGACACGCTGAGTTCACTAGACACACACTTAGACCAGCAGACACGCTGAGTTCACTAGACACACACTTAGACCAGCAGACACACTGAGTTCACTAGACACACACTTAGACCAGCAGACACACTGAGTTCACGAGACACACATTTAGACCAGCAGACATGCTGAGTTCACTAAACACACACTTAGACCAGCAGACACGCTGAGTTCACTAGACACACACTTAGACCAGCAGACACGCTGAGTTCACTAGACACACACTTAGACCAGTAGACACGCTGAGTTCACTAGACACACACTTAGACCAGCAGACACGCTGAGTTCACTAGACACACACTTAGACCAGCAGACACGCTGAGTTCACTAGACACACACTTAGACCAGCAGACACACTGAGTTCACTAGACACACACTTAGACCAGCAGACACACTGAGTTCACTAAACACACACTTAGACCAGCAGACATGCTGAGTTCACTAGACACACACTTAGACCAGCAGACACACTGAGTTCACTAGACACACACTTAGACCAGCAGACACACTGAGTTCACTAAACACACACTTAGACCAGCAGACATGACGAGTTCACTAGACACACACTTAGACCAGCAGACACGCTGAGTTCACTAGACACACACTTAGACCAGCAGACACGCTGAGTTCACTAGATACACACTTAGACCAGCAGACACACTGAGTTCACTAGACACACACTTAGACCAGCAGACACGCTGAGTTCACTAGACACACACTTAGACCAGCAGACACGCTGAGTTCACTAGACACACACTTAGACCAGCAGACACGCTGAGTTCACTAAACACACACTTAGACCAGCAGACAAGCTGAGTTCACTAGACACGCACTTAGACCAGCAGACACGCTGAGTTCACTAAACACACACTTAGACCAGCAGACAAGCTGAGTTCACTAGACACACACTTAGACCAGCAGACACGCTGAGATCACTAAACACACACTTAGACCAGCAGACACGCTGAGTTCACTAGATACACACTTAGACCAGCAGACACACTGAGTTCACTAGACACACACTTAGACCAGCAGACACGCTGAGTTCACTAGACACACACTTAGACCAGCAGACACGCTGAGTTCACTAAACACACACTTAGACCAGCAGACACACTGAGTTCACTAGACATACACATAGACCAGCAGACACGCTGAGTTCACTAGACACACACTTAGACCAGCAGACACGCTGAGTTCACTTAACACACACTTAGACCAGCAGACACGCTGAGTTCACTAGACACACACTTAGACCAGCAGACACGCTGAGTTCACTAAACACACACTTAGACCAGCAGACAAGCTGAGTTCACTAAACACACACTTAGACCAGCAGACAAGCTGAGTTCACTAGACACACACTTAGACCAGCAGACACACTGAGTTCACTAGACACACACTTAGACCAGCAGACACACTGAGTTCACTAAACACACACTTAGACCAGCAGACATGCTGTGTTCACTAGACACACACTTAGACCAGCAGACACACTGAGTTCACTAAACACACACTTAGACCAGCAGACACACTGAGTTCACTAGACACACACTTAGACCAGCAGACACACTGAGTTCACTAAACACACACTTAGACCAGCAGACATGACGAGTTCACTAGACACACACTTAGACCAGCAGACATGACGAGTTCACTAGACACACACTTAGACTAGCAGACATGCAAAGCTCAAGATGGCAGCGGCGGCGCCGTGTGTAACGTGTGTAGCAGCGTGTGAGTTGTTTTTGTGAGTTGTTTTGTGAGTGTAAACTGTGCGTGAGAATGTGTGAAAATGTGAGTGAGAATGAGCTGTGTGTGAGCTGCGTGTGAGTGTGTGTGAGTGAGCCACTATTAAGACCTTCATGATGGTGAGCGGGCCCCGGTAAAACTACGTGGCCGTGAGTGAGAGCCATTCCCTGTACACCTTGGGGTGCGACAGGGATGTCCTCTGGCTCCCACATTATTTAACATCTATTTTGACCACGTAGTTTGTGAAGCCTTTCAATAGCTGTACTGGGGGAATCTCCATTTGGTACAGATATAACTGGAGGCTGATCGATGCCCGGGTGCGGTCAAGGGATGGCTCCCTATTGCTCAACCAGGTTATGTATGCCGATGATTTGGTAATAGCTGCTCATTCAGAGGAGGAGTTGGAGACGCCGCTGCTGAGACTGGAGCGTGCCACTAAGAGATGGGGCCTTACCATCAGCCCCACCAAAACTAAGCACCTGCCTAGGTATTTTGTACCATCGGACACTCCACCCCCACAACTCCCAATCGGTGATGGGGCAGTTGTGGAGAGAGTGGAGAGTTTCCCATACCTGGGCAGTGTGCTTATGACCGGCCCCAGTTTAACAGCAGAGGTCTCACTCCGAATGAGTCAGCCTCAAGATCTTTTCATCGGTTACGTAACGCTGTGTGGAAGTTACCTGGTCTGTCGCTCCACACTAAGCTTCTCGGCCACGAGAAGACCTCTACGCTTGCGAAACGTGGACCCCCTTAATGGAGCACCTTCGCCGGTTGGAAACATTTAGGCTGAAACTAGATATGATGCCTTCGTGACTGCAGGAATTAATCTTTTCTTATTTCTACGTGACTTTACCGAAAAAACCAAAGATTAACATTTAGGCTGGCCTGCCTACGATCCATCCTGGGTTTAACCAGGCTGGATTGTGTGAGTAGCTCACAAATCCTTGAAAGATCTGGGCAAGGTCCCATCGTTGAGCTCCTCCGGCAGGCAAGGCTGCGTTGGCTGGGTCATGTAGCCCGCATGCCCAGCCACCGCATGCCGAAACAGCGTTTGGTCAGCCGGATCGAGGGGGCTAAACGGGTGTTGCACGGGGTAGAGAAGAGATGGAGTGATGTGGTACAGGAGGACGTGGAGCTGAGTGGACTTGCCGATGACTGGTACCAGCGGTGTCAAGACCGGCCTCTGTGGAGGAGGCTCGTGAAGGACGCTACTGGGCAGTTGGAGGCAGTCGCCCTCCAACAACAACGGAGGGCGGAGGAGTGACGCTCACAACAATGAGCGACACTCACAACAACGAGCGGAGCGCCGGGTGGCTAAAGCACAGCAGGTTGGCACAGTAGAGGGCACAGGTGGTGCATCAACCAGTCATCTCATTCATCTTAGTCAGTCGACCCGTGGCACTTGGGTCTGCCCCGTGGCCTCCTGCCCGCGGGCGTTCGACACTTCACGTGGCCTCAAGGTGCACATGGCCTGGCACAAGCGTCGTGGTGACGTCACCGCCACTTAGTGGCGAATGGCGGTTGTTGTTGTGAGCCACAATAAACTACACTAGTCTGGACAGGCAGGTTTGCGTGCTTCCGCCTGCACGTACACCCATCATCATCACAATCCATCTTCACCACCCATCATGATTACCATTCATCACCAACACCATCACCCATCATCAACACTCCGGTAATCAATAAATGTTCTTATGGAACATTCTTAATCTATAAGTAAATTAAACGTAATTGAGGATTCAGGCTTTGCCTAGAAACAGGTTAGTAGGCCTCAAGCATTAGGCCTAACAGTTTAAACTTTAAATTGGTTACCCAACTAAGGTGTTTAATAACTTAACAATTGCAGAGATCGTTAGGTGGCAGATCTTCAGTCACCCCTAAATCTGTTAGTGCATTTTTAACTAACTTGAGGATTAATTCTCACGCCGCAAGCTTTGTCTAATAATAGGTTGGTAGGCCTGAGGCCTAAAGATTTAAACTTTAATTTAGTTCCCCATTTAAGGTATTTAATAACTTAACCTTTTTACAGAGGTCCTTCGATGGGAAATTATCAGTCACCTCTTAATCTATAAGTATTTTTAAAACTCAATTGAGGATCAATTATCTTGCCGCAGGCTTCGCCTAGTACCAGATTAGTAGGCCTAAATGTAAAAACTTTAAATTTGTTTACTCATAGAAGGTGTTTAATAATGTAACAATTATCTGTCATGTTGTCATGGTTCGAGCTGTTCATAAATGTTGCAGAGGTAAAGGTGCAGTCCTGCAACTGCCGGCTCATGCTGCCACGAGAGGAAGCTCTTGAAAGCCTGATTAGATCTTCCTCAAGACATGTCCCAGGCCTAGTTAATAGTGCGACGGACCACAAGCTGTGTTCCTGCCAAGGCAACATTGCCACGGACTCCAAGCTGTGTACCTGCTAAGTCAACATTGCCACGGACTCCAAGCTGTGTTCCTGCCAAGGCAACATTGCCATGGACCCCAACCTGTGTTCCTGCCAAGGCAACATTGCCATGGACCCCAAGCTGTGTTCCTGCCAACGCAACATTGCGACGGACCCCAAGCTATGTTCCTGGAAAACTACACGGAGAGCGTCAAGACGGCCAAGGGTCGTGAATGAAGAGCCCCCTGTGTGGGCTTCAGTGGGGCCGTCTGGTCGGGCAGCAGAGACATGAGAGGCCAAGAAACGACATTCCAGTCGTGGGCTGAGTTCAAGGAGGGCTAGCTCGAGCACCATCCTGCGGCGGGGAAAGGAGGTGGTGCAAACGGTTCAGCCGAGCCCACAACAGCCAAAAATCTGCTGTCCCTGTCTGGGGGGGAGGGGGGCGCTGTTCAACCCGAGCACATGGGAGAGAAGCCGTGCACTTGTGACGAGTGCGGCAAGACGTTTTCTCGCGCTCGGCCTACAAGTATATATATTTTTTCTTTTCCGCTTGTGTGTTAATCTGTGTTTACCCCGGATATTTTAGAAATGGCAATTCTCCTGCTGTGTATCCTACTGCTGTCCCTCCCGGCCATATCTAGTGCCACACTCAACTCTACAAACAGCTACCCTCGTTACTTTGCGTCCATACTTGTTGCTCGATTTGCCACTACACCTGCTAATGAAACAGCTCATAGACACTTCTACACTCCA